AGATAACTTTACCTGTCCATTATTACAATCATTCTTTCAACACTTCCAATACTGAGATAACTTTACCTGTCCATTATTACAATCATTCTTTCAACACTTCCAATACTGAGATAACTTTACCTGTCCATTATTACAATCATTCTTTCAACACTTCCAATACTGAGATAACTTTACCTGTCCATTATTACAATAATTCTTTCAACAATTCAGATACTGAAGTAACTTTACTTGTCCATTATTACAATCATCCTATCAACATTTCTGATACATGATAACATTACCAGACAGTATCGTTACTACAATCTTTCTATCAATACTTCCAAATCTGAGAAAACTTTACAAGTTATTTTTGAACTTCTTGGTTGTAATTATTTCTATCTACAAACTAATTATGAAGAGACTACACTGACATATGTGTAAAGTGGTATCTATATATTTTTGTTACAATTACACAGGGCACAGTAATAATTAATTTTGTTGAGCCAGTTTACAGAAAGTTTTATTCCATAACATTTTATGCTCACTGTAAATGTTTATGTTTTAAAACATGGAATAAAAAATACTAGCGTCAGCCACAGTTCTTTTTCTGAGTTTCCATACTACACAGAACTAATTCAGTAAAGAATCTGACTGTCTTGTGAGAGTTTACTATGAAGAAACCTTGACTTGAAAACTTCATAACTATGGTACCAAAATTTATAAGTTTTTCCATTTCCTTAAAAAAAACATACAAAAAAAAACATTCATTCATTCAGTATTCCAAATCCTTACAACAACAATAATAATGTCTATGGTTATGTAATTAACCAAATAATATTTTCTTCCAAAAGTTTATTTAGTAGTTTTGCTTATCAAAATACTGAAAACATGATTTTCACTGATAAACATAATGTCACGACAACTATTTTCTAGATCAATGTATATTACGGACTATGACTTATAAACCACTGCAACAGTTTTCTGTATGAGTAACTTCAACTGTTTGTCTTGGAATAGATATACTTATCATGTAAGCTTGCCCCATGTTATAACCACTATAGCGTAAGTTTATTAGCTTCACCATACATCACACACCATAAACATCAAAGATAATTTTTAACTGTAATTGATTTGAATCCATAACTACATTCCATTATCAAGATCACCAATTTATCATACTTAACAAAATGAATGAAGATTAGCAGTGACTAACAATTTGTGTGTCAATTATGACAATCAAGAGTAAATGTTTTTCAGTCCAACAATATACAGAAGAGACAGTTTTTGTTTTTTTGTGATAAAGGTTAAACTTCTTTAAATCATGTCAAGTTGAGTAAATTTCTAATACTAAATAAATAATAAAAACTAGCTAACATATATATACATATAACACATATATATTTAACAATAATAATTAAGTTACGTAATCTCTGGACGTTTCATAGACAGCATCAATGTCCTAAATAACGTAATATGTTTACTACATTGTAAATAATCTTCTAACTTTACATATACATCCAATGAGTTTAAGAAATTATAAGCATTAAGTTCAATGACTGCCTCATAACTCTGGGAAGATAACAACAAAAAATAAAGAGCTTTAATAGTACAACATCCATTTTGCATTTATCAGACTTGTTTGAAAAATACAGTCAAAATTTGTGAACAAAAAAATTACTACATTACAAATCACACTTTATCAAAAAGTTACTTTGTTCAAAGATTGTTTTTAGCATGGAAGATGTAAACACTGGGGTCAGTGATGCTGATTTATGATAGGACTAATTACCTTATCCAAGAGATGTAAAGGTGTATTTTGCTGAACTCCTAGCTCAGTCAACCTCAGTTTCAGCAGGTGAATGCTGTCTTCTGTCAAAGTTTTTATCTGTTTTTCTAGTTGAGATACCTTCAGTGCTAGGTTGGCTTTCTGGCACTTTAAATGCAACACAAGAGATGTTTTACCAAAGTGAATTTTTTTGTACAATATTTACTAATGGCTGCAACTTAGATTACAGGTTTAAAAATTCTTAACTATAAATAACCTGAAAATAAAACCACAAACTACAAAGAAAACAAAAGAACACTTTGGTTACTTAATTGCATTAAAATATGAGTAATGCTTACCCATCAAGGCAAATTTAAACTAAAACACAATATACTATCAATAAATTAATTTTCAGAAAGTTTCTGACCAGTATCAAAGAATTAAAGCATATCATGCTAAAAGTTTTCACATATGACAAAGCAATGTCCTACTATTTTTAGAGAGAAGGGAAAGCATGGTTTGTTGAAAGCAACAAATAATTAATTTCCCTTTGAAGTTTTTGTAACTCCAAGTTAGTGTAACAAGATCATACAACTGAGAAGATGCATTCCAAACTTTGAAAACTATGTAACTTTTATTATCAAGACAATGGATAATATTGGGTAAAGTAAAGTAAGTTTCCATTATTGCAAGAGATAGTACTGTAAGTTTCATTTAATCTTAATTATCATAAATGAGTTCTAAGACAATTGGATATATAAACTTTATAGCTTAGAGATAATCTTCAAATGTCTCCTGATTATAACCAGTTTTAATACTTTCACTTCGGGTTCGGTCGAATCGGCTGAGTTTGTGACTCCAAATTGACCTTTATAGCTTATATACTATAATTTTGTGTGTCTTAATGAAATTTCAGTAAGCATTAAGTCTTTTGTACACAAAAAAATCATAATTTTTAATGAAGGATTTTCATATGAACATATGGAGTCAAAGTGTTGACTGCTCCAAGTGCAATGTGATTTTCATGTTAAGATTAAAAATAAAAAATTTTCTTCATCTGAAAACTGTGACATTACATCTGTATAATCTATAAAACCTCCTAAATAAATTCCAAACTTTTCTTTAGTAAATCTTTATATTTTATTTTCTTTACCCTCACTCTAAGTTGGTCAACTTGATCGAACTTGTAACCACCATAAAAAAAATAAAAAATAAATCTAAATTACCCTTATTTTTCTTTCTAGAATGACTTCAAACTGTAACATGAAACTACATTTTTTGTATCATAAAAACTTTAAATTCATAACAGTATACATTTGTCTATACTGAAGTTTTGTTTTACTGTCCTTTGAACTGTATCCAGCTAACAATCCTCCCACCAGACAATTTGTAAATCACTTAGCTAACATGAGGCTCACATTACCTTATCGAATTACATAATTCACGTGTTACTATTCAGCATACTTCATGAAAAATTATTATTATTATTATTTTTCTTTAGTTTACCTAAACTAACTTAAAAGATTTCTAATTTTGACAATTGAGTTACCTTCATAATAATAAATAAATACACATGAAAAACAAGAAATATAGTACTTTCCTGGGACATCTTTTTTCTTGTTGTTGAGTGTCAATGAAACTTAACCCTATATTTTTATTTTAATCCTAATAGCACTACTGCACTAAATAATTATTTATTTAACTAAATAATGCACCAAAGAACACATAAAAAGTAGACAATGCTCTATAACTATCACAATCTTTCTGGCTTTCTAACTATGTGACAAGAGCCATTAAAAATTCAGCTAAGATCATTGATGTGTTCCCCATGGGAATAAAGTTTGAACTGGAAATGAAATAGACAATTCTCTGTACAGAAAACAACATATAATTTGATAGATTAACACTTTGGCTTTCTATTAGTCATAAATAATATAGTATTAACTCTTTCTATACTGAGCATGTCACGAGGTTTTACTAAGTTGCATTGAAAATTAAATTATAATTAAAGTACTTTATTATCAAGGTATATGAATAAACTTGGCATCAAAATGTAACTAATAATCCATATTTTAATACTCTACAAGTTTTAGGTTCTTAATTTTACAAGAAAATATTAAAAGAAAAATCCTCAATTTTGCCTAGTACAAGTATTGTGATATATACTCTCTAGGTATCCCTTCCTCTCCAATTTACTTACCACCCCTCTGAGAAGTACAAAATTTAAAGTAAAATACCAATGATAATATTGTTATTACTCAGGCAAAGCATAACTTTTATAGCCTTCAATCATATTTGGTTAGAGAGCCATAAAGTAGAAAATGATAACCCTCTTGCCACACACACTTGTCCCATCCTCTCTTTCACAAATTGCCAATACTTCTCTCTGAACAGCAATGAATCTGACAAACTCACGGGCTTTACGAAAACCTATGTTATTTCCTTTCTATTTTCATGTACATTATTTATTACATTATGTATCAGAAAGAATGTAGTCACCCAAAGGTGTAATCATAGATGGTTAGGATACTGTATATCACAAGTAATTATCTATAAGTCTAATTGATTTTGTGAAAAAGACCTCTCTCTCTCTCTCCACTTCTTGTGCATGGGAATGACCTAGGGAAAGCATGCATAAAAAACGTAATGACATTATTATGCTTGATAAAAGCATCAGTTCATGGAAGTATATTGTAGAAGAATAATCACAGAAAAGTGTGGAGAAAATTTTTTACTTAAGATCAGACCATGTTTATCTTTGTACTTTACATAAATTCTTCTCTGTCATGTTTTACAACCCACATTTTGAATCTGAATGTTAGTTAACGACACAGTTCGTATCAGTGTTGTTATGCTAGATCAGTGCCTAATTTCACAGTATGACGTAGAATAGTGCTTTTCAAACTTCTCTCCCTGATTTAGTAAATATGTAGTATCAATTACAAACCACTAAAAATCAGATGAAACTGACACTGAGTTTATTGATGTTATTTGTTGTTGAAATGCATACACTTTCGCCTTTAACAAATCAAAGGCAGTAAGCTATAGCCGATATCACTGGCATTGTGTTAAAGGAGAATTTTCTTTCAGCCTATAGATATTTTTGTAGAAATATCAAATTCCGTATAACTTTCTTTATTATATATTACCTAAATACACGTCTTAACAATATTCCAATTTATTTTGTGTAGTTCTGGCAACCCTGCACTGGGTCACAGCCCAAACTTTAAAAAACACTGGTCCAGAACAACAGATGTTACTGGCAACATACTGGACACTTTTGGTTTGGCTGTTGTGATCTACATACAATTATAAGTAAACTTTATAATGATACATTAAATTATAAATGCTCTATAAATTTCTAGTATGAACAGAAGGTTTTGAACATGTTTAACTTTAAATACTCTGTGGGGATCCATACACCCACCACACCAGTTCAAACCATTGTAAATAAGTACGAAAAATCTATTTGTAGCCACTATTTTTTGGCAGGGGTCCATATGAACCCCATACAACTATTAAGGGGTTAAAATATATAATACATAAAAATCCTTTTAACCCTTTCGAAATGGGTCGCTGGGGGAAAGGCCATGTCATCTTGTTT